CAGATACACCCATTTAACTGTCAATTCAATATTATGTTATGTATAATCAGTATAAACTAGGTAATTATAGAGTGAAACTATTGAGGTTATCAGTTAATCACCTCAGGAGATATAGGATTTCCTGGAGAAACCAGTGAACTTATTCAAGGAACTTAGGGTATACTTAACAGAACTAAAATACTTATGAACTCACCAGCTTAAATGATGATCTACTCTTTCCAAATAACTTGTATTCTCAGGAATCCAGCAGACAGGTACACTCCCGAAGCTTTTGAGAAGACTACCTAGTACCGTACCGCGACTCTTGTCTTCTCCTGTACCTACTTAAGTGTTTGAATATGTAATGTTTAAACGCTTATGTAAAACTTATATTTATTAATGCAATGGTTGTTTGTACTTTGATTACTATATTGCATGTGTTGTGATAGTTACCTAAAGTCCTCCGCCCCCGAACGTTTCCGGCGTTCTGGTTTGGGGGTGTGACACGAAGTAACTTTGAGAATAACAACAAAGTCTTTTTTTGGTTGTCCTCAAGAGCAAGAATAGTTAGAAATAGTTTTAAGAGATCGAGAAAATAGTTTATTTATTACATGTTAATAAATTAATTAGAGAGTAGTTGAAATTAATTTGGAATTAATCTAGAAGCACAGATACTGAATGTTAATTGTTCAACAGTTGAACAAATGGAACATTATGGGTCCCCATTGGTGGTGGACATTTTTGTAGACTCCTTCGACGGTTCCAAAATTAATCCAAGTAACTATTAAGGCAATGATTTAAATCATGATTAAATCTAATTATTTAATTGATTCAAATCAGGATTATCCTGTTACCACCACAACTATATAAAAGGGTCTTCAGGAGCTCATAATTTCGTCCCTCACATCCCTCCTAAAAGGCTGAGAATTTCGTGTATACTCTCTCTCTCTCTCTCTCTAATCTCTCTCCTTTAGTTTCTAAGGTTCTTAACTTTTAGGTGTCAACCATTAGAGGTACTCTACTTTTGGTATTAGTGTTTCCAAGAAGCAACAAGTGACAATTTGATTTGTCAAAGGTTAGTATTCGATTCCCTCTCTTTAGCTTCTTAGCTTAGTTTTAAAAGTATGATGCTATAATAATAAAATTTAAATTCTAGGGTGCATGTACACTTATGATAATTTTTGAATGCTTCACTTACCTTAATCTAGTGTACAGTTCTACATATAAAACCCAACACTTTCTTATTCCTAATTTTCTAGAATTTATACGTTTAATATGTTCCTTTTGAGCTTGACACTAGCATCTTGCTAGCATTGCTAAGAATAAACTTTCACCGTTCAAAAAACCACTTTAATTATAAAAGTCATTTAAAATGATAAATATAATCTACATAGAGTGATGATAGAGTGATGAGTTTTATCTATATTTACATTCTTGTGTTTGTTTATGTAACAAAAACTTGTCAACGCTAGTCTCAAAATATTTGAAAAAAAAATTGTAAATTGTATTTTTTAAGCGGCTCACGTCAACTTGTCTCAAGGCCTACGTGAAATGTCAATCACGAAATACTAACAATATTTTTGATATACTATATAAAGTTTGAAACATGAACCATCTATACATAATTCAACTCTTCAACTAATAGACTACCATCATCACAGGGACAAGTTTTGTTTAATCTTACGTTTGGTTAATTTAGTAGAGTTTCTAAGTTCTAAGAAATGAAAACATATCGGTTAGTATATAAACTTCTAGAAACAAATTTTGTTTAATCTCACTCCTTTTTCCATTCAATAGTGTACTTTACATCAACTGTGTACATAATAGCTATTAAAACAAATGGCGAGTTTAGTGGGACAATCAGGCAATTGAACGTACATTTTAAAATTTGAAACGTAAGTATTAACATTGAAACATCATTTTCAGACCATTTTTTCCAACAACTTCTTCGGCTTTTAGGTAGTATTATTTTATTATTTTATTTATTTATTTATTTTTTCATTTTATGAATAGTTACATCAAAATTGGCCTTTTGCAAGTGTCCATTCTTGATACCAATTATGTGTCCAAAGTTCAAATAACACGAGAATTAAAAACGATGCTTACGTTTTCAGGCTCAACCATGATTGGGAAATATCGGTTTGTGTCACTACGTTTATAAATATTAAATAGAATAGGAATTATTTTCTTTTATTTACAAGCACAAAAATGGCAAATACAGTTTATTTATGTATAACAATATTATACAAAATGGTGAAAACCCATAAATAGCTACAAAGTAAGTTAAAGTATTATAAAATTGAGGGTATAAAAAAAGTAAACTGTACGTAAAACGCATAATTTAAATCGAATTTTACTTTGGTTAACATATTTTTAAAAATAATATTCCCTTAAAAAGTATTATTACAAGTTTATAACCAAATAAATTATATGAGTACCAGAAAAAGAATTCTTGTTTTGAATAATCTAATCGTTTATTTGATTATAAAGTTATAAACATACCATTAAATATTATTTTATAAATATATTTCCAAAAATAAAAATAGGGGAAATTATGTTTTTACGTGGCTTAGTAAAAAAAAGTATCTTAGTATATTTGTATAACGTACTTCAATCCCATATAAGATTACTGCTGCCGTTCTCCGCCACCTGATCAGAGATGAAGTCCAGAAAACCATCAATGTCAGCCACCGCCCACGACGGATACATCCACCGATCAACTAAGTCAACCATCACCAACCCCGTTGACGACTCCGGTGAGTCCAAACATCCTTCTAAACTCGGTAATTCAATGATCTCACCCAGCTCATCCGCCGGATTTGAACCATCACCCGGCGGTGGCCGTAGTGGCGGTGCCGGAGTTCCGGAAGAAGTAAATTCTAGCATGGTGGCTCCTTTTGCGGCGGCTTCTTGAACATCGCGAGGAGAGAGGGAAACCGGACGTGGTAACGAGTCTTTGAGTTCGGGGAAATTAAGAACAGCAGAGTTTCCTTTGATCGACATAGCAGCGACGTCGTGAGCTCTGGCCGCCATTTCCGCCGTGGAAAAAGTTCCGAGCCAAATGCGAGATTTCTTTCGCGGTTGTCGGATTTCTGACACCCATTTCCCCCAACTCCGCATTCGAACTCCCCGGTAAACAGGGTGCTTGTAGCTCACATCTTTCCGACTTCTCTTCTTCATCTTGGATGCCGCCGGCGTCTCCACCACCTTGTGCAACGAAGCTGATTCAGAAGAGGAGGAAGGTGTATCGGGTTCTGGGGTTTGAGGGAGAGCAGCCATTGATGAGACTCATGAGAGTAAATGAAGGTGTTCGTGTGTTATATGTAGGGGAGGAACAACATTAACATCACTCAATTTTTATTTATTATTTAGCTAACTAACTAATTTTTTTTTTTTATTGAAGTCGCTAAACTTTACCTTTCGAGTTTATTGGCTTATGGTCATTGTTATCTTATATAATAAGTTTCATAAAATATAGTAGTTTCAAGGGGGAAAAAAACTAGTTAGCTCAAAAAAAAAAGTGTTGTCAGTTTCGTTATCTAAAACACGTTTACAACCAATATGTATAAATATAGATATATGTAATAAGTTTACGGTCAATCAATAGATTAATTTACTTTAAATAGAAAATAATAACTTATTTGATAACCGTTCGTATTATTTAATAATCAACTTGGCTTCTAAAATATTTTTAATATAATTAAAATTGATTGACAATATAATTTTTACTTCTAATTTATCTATAAAATGAGCTAGTTGAAAAAAAAAACATTATTATTGATCTTTTTGATAATCTGTGAAAAAAATTTAAGCATTTACCGTAAGTAACTATTATGATTTTTATGAATATTATAAAAAAGTTAGATGTATTATAAAAATAATAAACTTGTCACATTAAAATATTAAATGATATTGCTGTATTAAATGACTGAAAAATAAGCTGTATAAGAAAAGGGGTTGGCTCATAAGATAATATATTCGATTTTCTTTTAATTAATTGTTGAAAAATACAAAAAAAGTGATTGCTCCATTATACTATATCATTTACGGAATATCCAAAATTGAGGTTTTCCATGTATGTAGAGGCCTAGAGGGTAAGAAAGTTATTATCACGTGTCAGTAAGGGAATGGGTCCCACGTAATTGGAGTACCAATAATTCATATAAAATGATATTCCCGTCACTGTCTTTTATTATTTCAAAATAAATGGCCGTTGGGACAACCGATATACTTTTCCTTTCTTTCATTTGCCCGTTACGCCGTTGAATTTTTCAAGCCGTTTGGTGTTTGATTGATCACTAGCTTAAAATTTTAATATGGAATTAAAACATAATTGTCTAGAATCACAGTATTTTAAAATTTTATTAGAATTTTCCCTGCTTAAACGAATTTGCTTCGGCCAAGACCAAAAACGTTTCGATAAAGTTCTCGCGTATTAGTGTGCGATTAGCAGTTTTTCTTGTTTCTAAAATATATGTGTTTTACATTACTATTTAGAGTCGAAACACCTATATGTGTTTTACATTACTATTTAGAGTCGAAACACCACATATTCCGTTTGAAATTTTTGGAAGCCACAAACCATACCACAAAATCTAAAAATTGCATTATATGGTGCAATTTGTTACTATCGGTTTATCAGGTTTGCGTATAATTTCTACCGTTCGCATTATTGTTCAAGTTTATACTTTTGTTTATAGTAAAGAAATTTAACATTTTTTAATTTATTAAGGTAATTTACATTGTGTGTTTCTTTTGCTAATCAAGTTCCATATAAAAAAAATTACAACCAGATGGATGACAAATGGGCAACAAGTTGCAATACTATGTCTTTTTGGATTCTAAAACTAACTTTTTTAAAAACTATGTCCATAAATCTTGGGGTCATAATATTATAACGCATGACTTGTTGCAATTGTTTGAGAAGCTCCACTACTTCTCGTGCTAGCAAATAGTATAAACACGTGTTGATTAACAATACAACATTTTTCGTGCTTGGCCACTTTACTCGAAGCCGCTTTTAAAGTAGCTTGACTTGCAATGAAAGGCCACTTTACTCCTCAAGCCTACTTTGGGGAACTCCTCTTAGATTCATACAAACATGCTTCCTTTCTATCCACCCAAAAACCAAAATATATGTTGGTTTAAGCCTAAAGGATGTGGTGATATTTCTGTCACTGGTAAAACTGTGCCGCATAAACGCTATCAGTTTTTATATTTTTTACAAATTTTATCTATGAACTAGAGTGTTGTGACTTGACCTATAAACCTTTTTTTTAATTTCAATAAAAAGATAAGAAATTTTTTAATATAAACCATACTAAGATTAAAAATTACATAAAATTAAAAATTACATTTTAAAATCCTAAAAATAAAAATAACATGAAATTAAAAATTGCATTACAAACCTAAAAAGGAAAAAAAATATAACATGAAGACAAAAATTACATTAAAAACCTAGAAAAAACATAACATTGAAATTTCATTTGCGTTTTTCTTGAATCAATGCTTTCACTGCTTTAGCCGCCTCCTGATCTTCGGGGTCGATGTGCTTCACGTATTGCATTAACAATGAATATTCTTTGAATTGGACAGTTTCACTCATATGTTTCTCCAAAGTTATATTCAATTGTGTCATTTTTGCCATCATTTCCTCTGATCTAGTTGACCGCTCGACTCCGACCGGTGAATTTGAAAATGTCGTTTTTCCTTTTACTTTTGCTCAAGCTTTCGCTTTGTCCCTTCCCATGGGACGAGGAGGCGGGCGTATTTCTTCGATGTCGTCGTTATCATCATTAACATCAACGCCTATGTGACCATCTGATGACATTTGTTGTGAACTCAAGTATGAAGATGTCCTGCTTCTTTTAGGTGGATTAGCAATGTCTTCATGTATTGCAAGTTCCTTCCACCTAATACTTCTTTTGAAAACTTCCCATACATGAATGGACTTAAAAGGCTTTAACATGTCATCTTGGAATGCCGCATGCGTTTTTTTTTCAACAAACTCGACTCACTTTCTCTACTAGCCCATTGCTTTTCAAAGTTTGTGTAAATTTTGTTCCAATGCGTCATGAGTTTGTTTACAAGATTCCATTTCGAGTTACATTTTTCGGACGTCCGGTAATCTGGATCTCAACCCATACCCTTACAAAACTGCTCTGTAACATGTAACCAAAATTGATCATTTGATTGGCCCTTTCCCGTGTTGCTATCTTCAGATATGTCGACCCATGCCTTTGCTAATTATGTCTCTTCTTTTTTACTCCATCTTCTTGGATCAGCCTTCCCTTTTTTTGTTGAGGTTGTTCTTCGGGTTCGGAATCGAAAAGATTTTTGGTTGAGGGTGTGAAAGGCGACTGGATGAAAATTGGAATTGGGTTTGTGTTTGGGTTTGAGATGTTATTCGGGGTGGTGGGGATTGGAATTGGAATTGTTATGGCATTTGGAATTATGAATAATAGCTAGGAACACCACCTACAAACGCTTTGTTTTTAGATAAACTTGATGGATCCACTTGTGACCGGTAAGGTGGTGATGCCGGATCGTAACCGAAAAGTGCAAATGGGTTGGAAGCAATTTGGTTTTGAAGCATTTTGGTTGGAAGAGTTGAGGTTATTGGAAGATATTTTGATTGTGTGTGTGAATTAAAGGGGGTGGAGATCTCCTTGTGTAAGTTTTTGCAACCTTTGAGTGTTTAGTGTGCTTTTGTGAAGGAAGAACTTCATTGAGGAACACTTAGGAAGCTCCAAGATTTATGGATCTGAAATTTACATCTCATAATCATTCCCCAGAAGGTATAAAGTTTCCATATTGAAGTTGTTTATGATAGATCTAGTTTATGCTTAAGAATTCCATGTTTTTGTCCACATGTCCCCATAACCTTGGTTCTTATGAGCATGAGCTACTGCTGGCCATTTGTGTGTCCTTTCAGATATTTTTAGGGTTAATAAGTCTTAAAAATGAAAGCTTGGTCACTCTCATCTATCCATGCAAGTGTTCTTGAGTATTGAGTGGCTTTTTGGACCTAGGTTATGATTTTTTGCTCCATGTATGCATGCAAATAGATAAAGTCAGAGACTTTATCCATTAAGACGTCCATCTAGCTTAGATCTGGAAGTTGTGACATCCCCAAATTCACGGCCAGAAAAGACCGGTTTAATTTATGCTTTTGAAATAATTTCAGAG